AAAAAACCTGGCTGCCTTGGTTTCCCTGGACTCCCAGCTGTCTCTTCAGTTAGGGAGTCCACTGGGCTCCACCTAGGTTCCTCTTCTGGGGATCTTGGGCTGGAAACTCTCCTGGCAGTAAGCAAGGACATACAAAAAGGGCTTGCTTCACTTTCCCCATCTCTCAGAAACTGTTCTTGTTACTATTATTCATTGTCTTACTATTATGTGAAATCATTTTTCCATACTTTTTCCCCCTGGTATTGGGGAYTGAACCCAGAGGTGCTCGACAACTGAGCTACATCCCTAACCCTTTTTATTTTTATATTAAGTTGCTGAGGCTGGCCTCCTGAATCACTGGGATTACAGGAGTGTGCCACTGTGCCTGGCTTTCCCACGTTTTGGTTCTATTTTTCAATTGTTTCAGGTTAGGGGTAAATATAATTTCCTATTTCCTTCWTCTTGGACATCAGCAACTTCTTTTTTTCATGACCACTTTCCCTACTATAAACATGATGCCTGTTTATCCCATCTGACTAATATAGCTTACATCATTTGTGGGGTGTTAGACCAAAATTCAGCTTCTAGATTTACTACATAAATGTCCTAGACAAGTAGGATACAGTATTCATTATGATTACTTTCTATGAATTACTCAATTTTTATTTATAATTCTTAATTTTATTTAAATTTCCTTTTCATATCCTTAATCAAATAAAATTCCAAATTCCAGTGCAACTGATACAACGTAATTAATACAACTCCAAGTTCTATTCCAGACTCTTGATATGTTATCTTGTTTGGTATACTTTTGTTTTCTGCTCTTAAAGCTCAACAGTCACTTTGTGGGGTCTTAATTATTACTTTTCCCCTTCTCTTTCAAGTTGTCAYACTGATTTCCAGTTTTAGTGATTGTAACTCTTGTTTGTTTCCTCCTCTGTTTTGGTGAATTCTACAACTTACCAAAGGAAATACAGGAAGCATATATTTTTTAAATACTTTTAATTGTAGATGGATGTGATATCTTAATTCTTTAATGTGGTACTGAGAATTTAACCCAGTGCCTCACAYGTGCTAAGCAAGCGCTCTACCACTGAGCCACAACCCAGCCCTGGGAAGCATATTTTTAAGTTTATGTCTACCGTTATCCTTAATGACAACTTTTGCTGGTACAGGATTCTAGATGGAAATGCCTCAGATTCATAAAATCATGGGTGCACTGTTTTTTGGATATCAGTGGTGCTCCTTAAATCAAAATGAGAGCGAGCAGCAGATGGGTCTTTAGTTTTGTTCACTGCCTACACATAGTGAGTACTAAGTATTCTGATTCTTGATTCTTTGTGTGAAATCTRTTTTCTCTTTACAGAAGATGTGATAATTTTTTAATCCAGTTTCTAAAAATTCATGAAAATATACCCTGATGAGTATCTTCTTTAGTCCAGTTTATTGGGCATTCAGTGAGCTCCTTCAGTCTAAAACCTTAAGTCTTTTAATTCTGGAAAATCTTTTTCAATAATTTTATTGATAATTTCTACCTCTGGCCTTAACTATTTCTAGAATTCCTCCCATTTGTGAAGATGAAATGCCTAAGCAGATACTTAAGTTTTCTTATATTTTTGTTGCAATTTGTTTTTCACCCTTGATCTACTTTTTGGAAGTTTTTCTTAACTGAATCTCTCAATAGTATGTTTGCATGTTGTATGTGTGGCATCTGCATACAATTTCTAAGTGCTCTTATTTTTTTTCTCTAAGATTTTTTTTCCTGTTTATCTCATTTTTGTTTAATAAATGTTCTACCTTTTCAAACCTCCCTGAGAAGATCAACAATACTTCCTCCCAGTTTCCTCTTCCTCATATAATTTTGGTTTTATTCACAATTGCTTTTCTATTTCTCCTTTGTTGTTTACTTGGAATGGGCTCTGGCTTCCATAGTAAATACTTTTCTTAAATGTCTGATGATCTAGGTGTATGGTCATTTTCAGAAGTGTAGTATTATTAAAGGTGAAGTGGGCCTAGGTGGTATTTACAGACACTGGTCTTTGCCAAGGGGGAACCTGGCTGGGCAGTGTGAGAGGACATCTTTGCTGTACAGAGCTGTAGGTATTCTCTCTTGGGCTCATCAGAGACTAGGGGTAAGAAACTAACAATATGCCTGGAAGCAGTTTGTGATTCTTGAATTTCAGAATAAATGTGTATTTAATCTCCCCGTTTCTACCTTCCACTGTGGCTGATGTTTCCTCCCCTCTGCCACTCCTGTCCGGGTACCATCTGATTTTACCTTCTCTGGAGAACGAATCTGTAGGCTCCTGCCAACACAGGAGAGCTGAGTTGGAAAAGAGATTTGGGGATCTAAGTGCTTCTGCTCAGATTCACAGCAAACCATTCTTCACTCTTACTTTCTAGAGGGTCTTGATACTGGCGATTCCTAAACATTTGGTGGTTAAAAAATTTCACATTGCTCGTTTATGCTTCTTTTTTTCTTGGATTAGATACCATTAGATACCATCCATCCATCTGACCTCCAAAACATTTTTCACAACTCTTTTGTTTGCCATTTCCTCCTCTCTTACTCTTGCTGTTCTTGTGGGTTTATGCCTTCTTGAGAAATACTGTTCTGTTGTTTCAGTCAGATTGTGTCAGGACACTAAGCCAGACCTGTGTTTAATGTGCCATTTTTTGTTTCTGTCAGTCTGCCATCTTTGACCAGAAATTCTTCATTTCTGTTTATTTGGCCTTATTATGTTTTCTGAAATTCATTTCTAGAATATCATTGGGTTAAACAGACAAATTCCTATAGAAGAGCTGTGAAGTTACCATGCTTCTTTATCATGAGTTCACAAGCAGTTCTTATTTTTTTTTTTAAATTTTAACATAAGTAACTAAGAAAGAGAATTTGGTAGAATTATAACAATAGTCCTAATAGATAATTTTACTAATTATTTCTCTAAATTTGCTTACACGATCACCTAAAACTTCTTCCATTTCATTTCAGTATCCTTTCTTCTTATCTGGTCTTCCATAAACTCAGGAAAGACAAAAACTGGTAAAATTTATACAAACATTATAAACAACCCCCCCAAAAAAAACTCTACAAAATTAACCCCAAATGTCTAGAGCAACTAATTTCAATTCTGTCCTCTGTACACCAAACAAACAAATGTAAAAGGGATAGCAGACTACATCTTTAGAGATATTAGCAAAGAGGATGTATCAATAAAAGTAGTAGGGAAACTGTAGGGAGATGTAAAAGAGAAAATATAATAAATGATATATAATAAATGATGTGGACACTACTGTCCCTTGCCTCTTACTATACAGATCCTTGGCAGCAGTGTGAGGGACTTGAACTTTCCTGGTGCAAGGTTCCAATTAATCCAAGTCAGCCATATTGACCTACTTGAGTATCAGCAGGTGATTGAAGCATCCAGTGCATGAATAAGCTTTCTTGGGCTACTGGTTTTGGTTCAGAACTAGGTCTGTATCTATTTAGGACAAACGATATCTAAAATAGGGTTTGTTAGGATATTCTAAGGAAACTTTCATGATCTTGAGAACCACAGACTATACCAGCTTTTGCTACTTTCTTTCAAATGCAGTGGAATGCATGAATATGAGGCTGAGAAATTCTGTAGTATTCTTGCTGGCAGTCTGGGGATGAAGTTAGTTGCTCCACGAAGGAGGATAATAAACAAGCTTATCTGAAAGCCTACCCTGCCTGACCTATATGCAAGTGAGCATATATGTTTTTTTTTTAAACCAGTTTGCAGGAAGGACTGTAGTAACTTGTAACTGTAACTTGAGGTATAGACTGTTACTGATAAAGTATATAATCAATTGACTGGTGAGCTCCATACTAATAAGGGCAAAAAAGGAAAAAGTTACATTTCTTTTCACTAAAAGAAATGTAATATCCATTTACAGGATTCTTCCCTGCCTAAGAAATAACCCTTTCAGTAACAGTGAATGAAGAAACAGATTCTTGCCATATAAAAATCTTTCTAACTGCATTTAAAAAAAGTAAACTCAAGAAGAATTTTATGCAGAGAACTAACTCTCAAGCCCACAACTTGAATTCAGCTATGCTACTGAGAACAGTGTTTTCTGATCTAAGTATGCTGGCCTCTGGGATGGAATAACTCTCCAGTGGAGGACTGTTCCATGAATTGCATATCTAAATCCAGAACTAAATAACTGACTCTAACAAACCTTCCTTCATCCATGTGCCCTAAGATACCGGCTCCAGCTGAAAATCACTAAAGTAAGGGAATAGATTATATATATATTTGGCAGTTTTTTTAATAAATTAACATGAAATGATTCCATATCACAAAAAGGTATCACAGCAAACATGCTATAAGACCCAGCACATCGACATGGCAACATTTTACAGGATCAAATAATAAGAGTGGTAGAAAAAGAAAATATATTGGCATATTTGTGTTTCTAACTGTCAAGTTCTTTTGACAGTTAACTAAAGTAAAGGGAAAAATATATTATCAAAATATTTATCTTTCACTCTGTAAATGTTTCTTAGTATTAAAGTTAATATTTTTCTTTTCTTTTTTATTTTAATGACTGAAGCACTAATTACAGAGTATGTCATTACTCTGTGATAAGTGACAAGTGAAGATTCAGACAATAACTGCTGAGAGAGTTAGGAACATTCTTGGCTGGAATAATTGAGAAAGGCTCACTATGGAGGCAGAACTTGGGACACAGAGAGGAGGAGGGATGGTCACCAGAGCTGGAGGGAAAAGCCTACGCAGGATGAAAAATACCAAGGTGAGCAAGAGTACCAGTGGGTTAGTGCTGGGGATAGACTTACCTGAGAGTGGTTGAAATTGAATGGCAGGCTGGGAAGCCAACCACAGACTAAAAAATGCAAATCACACCCTGCAGGCCATAGGGATTAATGATTATTCTTGAGCAATGGCAGAAAGATAAAATAAACAATTTAGAGGGGAATGTAGGGTTGAACAAAACTAAAAAATAAAACTTGTATTGATGAATAGGATATATACCTGAAATGGCTTATCTGATTTTCTAAAAGGGAAGAGAGTCTCTCTTTTATTTCCTCAAATTTCTCCTTTTCTTCTACTGAAACTGTTCCAATTCCATCAGGCCTGGGGGGAAAAAAAAATCAGATTCAGTAATTTGTATTGGTAAGTTACTTTTATGTAGTACACACACACACACACACACACACACACACACACACACACAAACACCCTACAAACCTACAAATCTAAATGATTAAGAAAAGGTATATTGGTCCACAGAATACATATTAGTTTCAATCAGAGTAGAAATTTATTGGAGGTATTTGTAGCCATTTGCTTAATGTTTTGACCCAAAATGAATGGAATGAAATTATTCTCTTTTAGACAGACTTCAAGGTAAAGATGACAATAAATATTTTCCATATCTACAGAAAACAATAGCTAGTCCTTGAAAATGTGTTTGATAGTGATACCAAACATTTGACCAATTAAATGAATGTCCCCTGAATGGAAATATAAAAAATAACGAATATAAGGCAAAATACCTTAACTGTTCTCTTCTGAAAAGAAAGTAACCCAACATGATATATATTAGAGATTTAATTTTAATTGTTTCAAGAAACAAAATTTTTATAAGAAATTTTGGATACATATGTAAGTTTACTGCTTTATTTTTCTTATTTAAATATATGGGCATATAAATATTGGAATAAAAGTATATACAGAGAAAAAGACTTTCTTTTCAAGATTTTTTGTTTAACTAAATATCCTTATGATATCAGTATGAGTTTTCATTAAGATTTTCAAAAGTAAGTACGAAGACTGAAATATTTTAAAATATAATGGGAAGCAGTATGGAGATTCCTTGGAAAACCTGGAATGGAACCACTATTTGACCCAGCTATCCTTGTCCATCTATACCCCAAAGACTTAAAAACAGCACACTACAGGGACACAGCCACATCAATGTTTATAGCAGCACAATTCACAATAGCTAAACTGTGGAACCAATCTAGATGCCTGCCCTTCAGTAGATGAATGGATTAAAAAATGTGGCAAATATATATAATGGAATATTACTCAGCAACAAAAGAGAATAAAATCGTGGCATTTGCAGGTAAATGGAAGCAGTTGGAGAAGATAATGCTAAGTGAAGTTAGCCAATCCCCCCCAAAACAAATGTTGAATGTTTTCTCTGATATAAGGTAACAACTCATAGTGGGGTAGGGAAAAGGAGGATGGGAGGAATAGATGAACTCTAGACAGGACAGAGGGGTGGGAGGCRAAGCGAGGGGGCAGGGGGTTAGCAATGATGGTGGAATGTGATGGACATCATTGTCCAAAGTACATGTATGAAGACATGCATTGGTGTGAACATACTTTATATGCAAACAGAGATATGAAAAATTGTGTTCTATATGTATAATAAGAATTGTGATACATTCCACTGTCATGTATTTAAAAACAAAAGCAATTAAAAAAAAAGAATTGAAAATATAAAACACAGCTAAGGGGGGTATGGGGACAGGAAGGATAGTAGAATGAATTGGAAATTATAATCTATATGCATATATGATTAGATGACCTATTAACTCTACATCATGTACAACCAGAAGAATGAGAAGTTATACTCATTTTTGTATGATGCGTCAAAATGCATTGTACTGTCATGTATAACTAATTAAAACAATACAAAAAATCTAATAGCAGGGACTCAAATTTATTCTGTATCAATTTAAGGTTTTAGTTGTATAGCTGTTACCCCAAATTTTGAACCTGTAATTAACTATCTCTGTTAGCACAGAAGAAGTAAACATTTCAAACTGTTTATTTATTGTACAACAAAATGAATCTTTTGCATTTGACAACTAACAACAGATAACTTCTCTCATTAGTTTAAAAACAAAGAAAAAGCTTAAAATAATGAGATTTTTTATTCTATATTCCCACTGTGTATGTATACATACACACATATGTGTATGTATACACATACATACACACATTATATATATATGTATAYTCACACAGTTTTATATACCTAAGTGTTTATGTACATATATTTGTGTATATTAAATATCCAATTAGTATAAAGCAATTAATTTTTAAAGTTATATCTGAATCACACTGACATGATGACTTATATTCTTATCAAAGCATCATTTCAGTATGAGGATTTTTTTCCTAACACAAAGCAAAAATGCTGTCAGAATTTATGCTCTGAAAACATTTCTTTCAATTATATTTCATTTCTAATATAGGGAAATATCAGTTACATTATTTTACATTCACAATAATACACCAATCAYAATAACTCCTTCAGAATGCATCTAGAATATTAACTATGGAAAAACTAAAAACTGGTCTCAAAAATTTATAGGAAGGAGAAAAAAATACAACATTTAAATTATGAAGTTAATGAACTGTGGGCTAATTTCAGTGTTTTATGTTAATTTAGAAATGGATATTTTTTAAATCAACTCCCATCTAACAAATCTTAGCACAAAACCAATAGCAACTTATGAATAAGCACTGATAATGATCAGTGATCACAAATAGATGCCTAAGAGTTCTATGTAATCATCAATCAGGGAATTTAGGCATTCAGATAAAGACTGGACCTAAATAATATTATTACATAGCAATAAAAACTAATAAACTTATAGGAGGTTATTTTACTAAACATGACTATTCAAACTTGATAAGAAAGAGCAAAGAACTTATCCCCGCTATTCTGGTGATTGACACTATCCCTTAGCTTAGCTCTCTGGCAGATGCCATAAGGTTAGAGTTGAGTGAATTTTCCTGTTTGGTTGAAATGTCAAATGAAATCATGATCTACCATGATGGAGTAAGTTTTCCTGTCATATTGAACTTCACTGGGGCACACTGTCTAACCAATGGAAGGGAGCCGGGATGCCGATGATGATAGGTCTAGGAGATAAGTCAGGGGATGCTCATTTTTGTCAAGCTTCACTAAGACAAATACTCCTGCATATAAGGAAGGCCCATAATTTTACTGAGTTAATTACTGATCTAGCTACAAATCTGACAGGTTAAATACCACATTTAACAACTTGGACTTGCCTTTACTGACATATCCATATTTTGGCATACTGCCTTTAGGAGCCTAAGTACTAAATATAAAGTTGTTGAAGTGGCCTTGTGATATAAAAAATTGGGTACAAATGGCAACTTTGTTGCAATCAAGGCTAAAGGAAACAATTTCTCCTACAATTCTTGCCAATAAATGTGAACACTTATGTCATCAACATTTTCCTTATCATTGGCATTAGTAAAACCAAACAGCAATTATCAATTACAGAATTCTAAATGTGCATCTGGCACTGTGCTGTTTCGTATGCAGAATAGTATAGAATGTTCATAGAAATCTTTTTCCAGTTTCGAGGAGAGAAAGGCTGAGGCTCAGAGGGGTTCAAATATATTCCTAAGGTTACATAGCTGGAAAGTGCAGAACCTGGACTGGAACCTAAGTCTTTGCATTCCAAAGTCAGAGCTCTTAGTGTTTACTAAGTTATCTTAGAGCTTGCTATAAGCTCTYAGGGCTTACTCTCTTTCCCCATATCTTCATGGAAAATAATGAAAAGCAAAAATAATTTAAAAAATCCTGTTAAGCCATGGAAAGCATGTATGAGAAACAATATGGTAGAAGWATTTTAAATATTCTTTTTTACATCAGACCTTTTCTGTATTTCTTGCATAAGGTGGAATACAAGTAAATTTTAAACTAAGATTCGCCCCATTGAGTCAATGATTCAGCAGTGGGAGAACACTGCTGAACATAGTGTGGTTTGTGGCTAAGGTTGATATTTAGGCTAAGGYTAAATGGATGGAAATTCACCCAAGGGAGCCTGGGTATTGTGCATAAGATAATAATCAGTGTTGGTTTCTGAGATGGGCAAAGTCACAATGGAGTTTAGTTGACAGATTATCCATAATAGGCACTCTATGGTGAGTGGATCTGTGAGATGAGTCAGCTAAAGAAGACCAAGTACCTAGGAGTGGCTGCAGAAATGTGCTGAAAACAATACAGATTTGGATTGTAGTATTAATACCTGTATGATTTAGCATGAAGGAGCAAGTGCACATCAATTTAGGAGAAAAAAATGACTTTTTTCTTATTATTTAAAAATATTCCAGAATCATTCACTGGATATATCTTACAATAAGTTATAGTTCCTGAGCCTTTAAAAAATAACCATATCACAATGGAAAATAAATCATATGTTTATTAAACACTGAAGAGTCAAAGAGTGTCAGTGAAATACATGAAATTGACTCAACTCAGCTGCTGTGTCTCGTGTGTTTTCTCATATAGTACTGCAGGGTTACACACGAAAAGAACTTGCCATTGCTAAAGTAATATAGGGTTCTAGTATTGTGAGTGAATGCCTGTCCCACATGTAAAGAAAATTTTGTGTATATTATCAACTACATAACAGATTCAATAAACTGTAGTTGTATTTATATAAAGAAGACCTTAACAATGGAAATCCTAAAATTTGTTCTTTTATATGTACTTGCAGAAGCCTTGAGAGAAACTTCAGGTAGTTATATTTTATGAGTAGTTTTATTATATTCAAAGTAAAAGAGATTTTAAAAGGATAGTTTATATGATCTTAGTTTACAAATTAATTTCCTGTCATGTCTACTTCTAAAACATCAGAWCCTGATCACCCCTATCACTTCTACTGCTGCTTCTCTGGGTCCCTACCCATCAGCTTTCCCCTAAGTACTTCTGTGGCCTCCTTGGTCTTTCACTCAGCACTTTTCTTTGCCAAGTACTGGTAATGCACCACAGTAAGATTCCTGGAGCACATATCCAATCACAGTCCTTCTTGGCTCAAAGGTCTGTAATGGTGGCGCTCCACGTAAAAGTCAAAACCTTGACAAAGGTCCATAAGACCTTATATGAGCTTTGCTCTTCACAAAAACCCGTCTGACCTCATCTATCCCCTCACTTGCTCCGTTCATTCACCCTTGCCTCCTACCTGGTCCCCCCATAAGCAGCATGGCCTAGCCTTGGGGCTTTTGCAAATGCTGGTCCTCTGCTTGAGAGCTCTTCCCTTGGTGTATCCACGCTACTTGCCTGACTCATGATAACA